CCTTTGACCTTCACCTCCAGGTTTACATAATTACACTCCTTTCCTCTGCGTTCCATTCCTCACTGCTCTCTTCCCTCCCCTCTACCCATGTTCTCCATCATGCCACCTCCACATCCCAGTTTCAGACCCTTTCAGGCTTCCCCAATGTCCCCATGGGCCCCAGTGGATGCAGGGTGTGACTGCTCTGACCCCACACAGCTGTGCTGTGCCTGCCCTGACCTGACACAGGCTCTGCTTTCAGTGTCACCAGACCAAAATAGAGACTGAGCAAAGAGTTGTGCAGTTGGGCCTCTCCCCATTCCTCACTTATCTCTGTTGGCTTTCCTACACTCAAAACCAGGCACTACTGGAGTGGTGTGCCATGTCAGGACCTCATCAGCTGAAGACTTCTCCACAGACAATGCACTTAGATTAAAAAAAAGGCTAGCAACAGATTCTTAAGGAAAGATTGACAATGAATTAAATGAAATAAAGAACATTTAAAGCTGTCAGAGGAATTCTAAGAAATCTGTCTTGTGCCTAAGAGAACCAAAGGGCTTTTAAACCCCTCAAAACTGACTTCTCCCTTTATTTGGTGAAGTTTTGAGCTCCCACCCAAAATCCACCCGTGGCACCACCCTAACAAACAACCCTGAGAAAGCAGAGTTAACCAGTAATTTCAACAGCTCAGAACACCCCATGGAAAGAATAAATGAGATGTAAAAATATTCCAAGTTAATAATAAATTAAAGTGTTGGTAGTAGCAGACACTTTGTGATATGTTTCACAGTGCCCCTTTACACCAGGAAAAAGCCCACAAACCTCTATGTGTTAAATATTCTGATTCATATAAAAACTTTCCCTCAGAACTGGTTGTTTATTGTCATCCACCAATCCTCACTTCATATTAATCCTCTCAGCATCAGCGTGTATCCTTATCCCAAAATCAATGTCACACTGGTACATTTTAGGGAAGCCAGGGGGAAAAAAAAAGCCTTTTGAGCAGATAGAAGTCACAACAGCCATTACTAAGCCACCCATTCTGCATCACACTTGCGAACCGAGACACATTTCCCGACACATTTCCCCTCGGCAGCAGCACTGCCTGATGTCCTTTTGTCCTCATAATGGGGCTGGAGCCCTGGAGCAGGTTTGTTTCAGCACAACAAGGACAACACAGCCAGGAGCGGCAGCGAGGTTTGACCGGAATAACTAAACACCCTGCGCTGGGATCCCAGCGGCACCCGAGGGCTCGAGCAGCGCTCGCTGGAGGCTGCGGGATTTGCATGCGGGTCACTCCTCCCAGCTGGGTCCTTGACTGGCGGCGGCGGGAGGTTCTGAGTGTCGGTAACTCCAGCATCCAGACTAAAAAGAACCTACAGACAACGCCTTCACTTGCTTTTTGCTGCTTGGAAGAGTCCAGAGGCAGAACGCACTGGATTTGCCTTTCCCAAAGGGAGCCTCGTTGCTGGAGATGTTGGGAGAGTGATGCAGGATAACCCCATGGGACTGCTCTCACACATGGATAATCCAGCATTTAGCCCTGTATCCTGCATGTGCTGCTCTAACCATGCAGCAGGACACTAAAACACCCAGTGCGCTCCAAAAGCACAGCCAGGGCACCAATACCCTGCCTGATCGACCCCAGTGATCCTTCACAGACACAGAACATTGTCCTGGGTTGGTTCATTTTTAACATCACGCTCTGCAGGAGCTGCAGCCCACTGAGAGAGACCACCAGCAACTCTCAGTTCTGCAACAGCCATTCACAGAGTGAAGAAAAAAGAGCAGCAGTACTGGAGATGGCTCTGGGGCTCCTTCCCAGCTGCACTACTTTGCCTCAGACAAATTAGTCCCCCAGTTGTGAGCCAGGACATCTGATCACAAGAGCAACACATCTAGGAAGGAATTAACAACTTCAGGGTTGCCTGTCTGAGTGCAGAGAAGGATGCTTTCATCTGTGAGCAGCTCCACAGTACACAGACATCACTGCCCCGAGTTAACACCTTTCATCCTCAAAAGCACTAATGGACTTCACAGCAAGCCCTTCCCTGCCATACTACACCACCAAAATGCAGCCCTGAGGTAGAAACATCACCTGAACAGCACCTGTGCTGACCCAGAAAAAAACAGAACAAGATGCTTTTCCTACTTTTCATGCAGAACAATGAATGAAGTTAATTTTCTTCCTATTCATTGAAAGATTTTTCTTGTCTCTCTCCCCAGACTATAAACCTGCACATGGAAATTAAATTACAGATCTGGGAAAATATTCAAGAGATCATCTGAGTCAAACAGGACAGGAACACGTGGCTCCAAGGACCCAGGGAACACAATACACTCCACTTGCATGGATAAGCAGGACACAGCCCCTAGAAGAGTTTTCACATGGATTTTAAGGTCTCACTTATCTAAATCAACTCCCAAAGGTAGGAATCTGACAGCATCCTGCTCACCTCAGAACTATCAACTTTACTCAAGGTGTTCTTACCATATCCTTCCTTCCCTCCCTCCATCACACTCAGGATTTCATTAGACAGGTAAACCTTACTCAGAGGACTGGCATGCTTCCCAGTCCTGACCACCACTGTCCTCCCACTGTGATTTGTAACAAAATAAATGGCAGCATCAGCTGAGCTTTCAGAGGAGAAAGTATCAGAGGGCTCTGCAGGACAGTTTCTGGCTATGTTTAAAATTATTCTTGTATTACCAGTGAAAAATAAGGCCCTTGTGGTAAGAAAACCTGTGTAGGATGCTTAATGAATAACTCAGGAGGAACTGGACTGAAACATGGAAGCAGATCCCAGGATTCCTGTCAAACAGCACTGGAAAAGCTCAGGCATTTCTGTAGGTTTTCTGTAAGGTTGGGGCTGCTGATCCCAGAAAAGCAACCAGAAAGCTCCAGCCTACCTCCTAGATTTGTCCTTTAACACAACGTAACGTGTTCCCCATTAGTAACGCCATCAACCCAAATTTGCATCTGCAATTGCCCAAATTAGCTAATTAAAGCTCCCATCCCCAGTGCCTGTGGAGCGAGGGAGGTCACGCGATCGCTGCAGCTCCTGCCAAGCAGAAGCCAGCTCTAGAGGGAAGGGCAGCACTTTTCCTTCCCCGGTGCCTGAGCAGGCAGGAGACTGCAGCCAGGCCCGGGAAATGCCGCATTCAAATAAAACTGGAAGGGAGGAGTGTTAGGGAATTGCTTAGGAATATAGCTGGAGCAGGGCCAGCACTTAGTATGCATGGAGGCTGGTGCTGTATGAATGGTAAAAATAGCAGCAGATGCTTAGATAGGAAAATACAATTTGGTTTACATGCAAAGCCATCACAGAGCGTGGTTCAAAAATCTATCTGCTATCAGATCACTGGAAGATTAAGGCTGAGAACTTATTTTGGTGTAAACTTAATTGCAAGGCCCTCTCTTTCTTCAAGAAGTCTCACTTCCATTTGGAAAACCTTTCTGCTCCAGCATTAGGAAGAAAGGTGGGTTTTACTCAGGCTTTATGTCACAGAAGCAGAGTCTGAAGGGATGGCAGGACCATGGTCAGAGGGCACAGTGATTGCTTTGGTTTGGAAATCAGTGGGCAAGGTACACTGATATTTTAGGTACACCTACACAAATGCCAAGCCAAGTTCCCACAGGCAGGATCGCTTCCCTGAGCTCTGATACATCCCTGCCTCCAACACAAACACACCATAGATTGACAGGGCACACTGACCCTGAGCAGCTCTCCAGGGGAGGAAGCAGAGAATGATGGTTCTTCACTCAGGAAGAGCCACTTGAAACCAGGAGCTGCTGCTTGCAGCAAGTCAGACTTGGGGACAGGGAGCTGAACTCTTGAGGGTGAGTCATTTCCTTCAGCACAAGCACCCCAAAAAACTTGGAAACCAGGCAGGCTTCTAGGCTGTTACCAGTGACCTGCTCCTCTTCTTCTCAAGGGCTAACTTACCAGCTGGTTTTAAAACACCCTTAAACTCCCACATTTACTTTAGTGAATTACAAAAGGCTTTGTTTATGCAGATGGATGCAATGTGGCCTTCACTGTCAGCAAGAACCAGCTGGAGGAAGCACCATAATGAAAGAGCAGGTATGGGATCCTGAGCTCTTCCCAGAAGATCCCATAGAGATAGATCCCTGCTGACTTGGCTGGCAGGAAATACCAACAGCAACAGGAACCACAAATTGTCTTCTCAGTCATGGTAAAGATTTAACCCTTTGTTGCAACCTTTGGCTCACCTGAACACTTGCAGACAAGCAAAAGGCCATTACTGCACAATCTTAATTCTCCAAAGCAATCCTGCCAGCAGGGATAAAGTCCTAAAATGCATCTTCGGCATCTGGGAAGCATTTGAGACCCAAACTTCTGTTGAATTGTAGTAATCACTGCGTATGAGGGCTATGGAGAATGTTTTGACCTTCATGCTAACTTGCTGCAACTAAATCTGACAGTAATTTCTGCTCCTTATTAATCATATCTTGATTTTCTCTGTTTCATAAGCATCCTGGAAATAAACACTTAGTCCAGGTATATTCACCACATGATGGCTGGAAACATTAACTGACTGATAAAAAGGCTCATAAGCAAACTTGCAAATACCCAGCTGACAGTGTGAATCCCTCTCACCCACTGGGCAAGTAAATGCACTTGAGAAATTCCAGGAGCCAGCTCTGTGCAATGGAAGTATGGCCATTTTCTCTGTCTGTCCCAGCCCTGCTGTCAGCACATATCCAGGGCAAGGGACAAGTGCCATACAAAAATCCTGCCCCATTCTTTCCCTTCCCCACCCTATCCTTCCTTCCCCCTGAGCCAGTGGTGGATGGGAAATGGACACTTTCTCCCCTGCTCAGAGTCTCATTTCCCCATTCTCAAGAGCTGTTGAAACCTGAAAACTCAGCACAGCTCCAGCAGTCATTTGAAGTCCATGCCTGTTGCATGAACACATTAGCAAAGGAGTTATCTGCTGTGGATGCTGAGGATCACTGGCAAAAAATGCTCAGCATGGCCCACAGGGAAGTGGGGCTGTGTGGAAAAACAAAACTTTACTGGAATAACGAGAAGCCCCAGGTCCTCATTCCCAGCAGATCTTTGTCCCAGACATGCAGCCAAAGCACAATTCTGCAGTGTAATGTTGTGCTGAATTTTACCGTTTTTCTCTCTCTCAAGGCCACACAAGGACAACCCTCTCTGTTCCCACTAAAACACTCTTCTCCACAGGATTCTTCACAGAGCAAGAAAGGGCACGAGCAGTCTCCACCCTTTGCTTGCCCCTTTCAAGACCATGGCTACTGTGAGGCTAAAATTCCAATAAAAAGCCAGTTGAGATGGAGGCAGATGAGATATCCCTCCTGTGATGTTCAGAGGAAATCATCCTGCAATGCACAGCTCTTAATAAGAACTAAAATTAAAATTTCCTTAAATAAATATAAGGAAAGAGCCCACGAGGGAGAGTTGCCAACAGGAACACAGAGCCGTGTTTGGGTCAATCTCTTCATCCATCACCTTGGAGATCTCCCAGGACTGTGCTGAGGGCAGGACCAGCGGCTCCATGTCACTGCTCCTATCGACGCCATCTGGAAAAGGAAAGAGCTGCTGTGTCCCTGTGGTGGGCCACCAGCTCTGCCACAGGGCCCAGAAGGCACCAGACAAGAGCAGCACCAAGGGGACCTGGGGTCAGTCAAATGGCAACCAGCTCCCAGGAATTTGTCTGCATAACTGGGAGAAGGAAGAAGGTCAGAAAGTAAGACCTGACCAGCCGGTGCAAGTGTTCCTTCCCCTCTCCAGGAATCAAATTATCTGAGTCAAATTTCATCCTGACTGCTTGGCTGGAGGGGCTCTGCTTTTCTAGTTATCTCCCAGCAACAGTTCCTGCCCTGAGAGAGGTCAGGTCTCCAAGCTGGAATTTGACCTGGTGCTGTGCTCTCTGCAAGATCGTGCCCCAACTACACAGGTCTCTGCAAGGGCACTGTGGCTCTGAGGGACACCTGGAGTAGCTGCAACACCCTCATGGACAAACAGGTTACTCACATCCGCAGACACTTGTCCTTCCCTCCGCTCGCTACCCTCTGTCCGTCTGGGCTCCAATCTGCTGCATACACCTGGTGTGGTGGAAATGAGTCACCTCTGCTGGGAGGAGGGGTCCCTCCTGCCACCCAAACATCTCAGCTCCACCAGGCAGCTCACCTCATCTGCATGGCCAGGCAGATCGATGGCCAGTTTCTTTGTCTTGGCATCCCAGACCTTGAGGGTGCTGTCGCTGCTGCCGCTCACCAGCAAGCGGCTGTCGGCTGACCAGGCAATCTGGTACACAGCTGACACGTGGCCCCTCAGTGATGTCAGGTACCTGGGGACAAGGACAGGCTGTTAGAGCAGCAGGCTTTGTTCCAAACTTGCCCTTGCCTTCATGCTTCTTCTCCACCAGCACAGTCACAGGATGCCCAGAACACTCCAGGCAGTTCATTGCTAGACAGAATCCATCCAAAAACCCTCCCAAGTGGGCTCAAAACCTTTTAGAGGATGCCTCTTCATCTCACCCCCTCTGCCAAGAAACCTTTTGCCAGCAGGCAACACTTCAGCCTCACTGCACAGGTGTGTCCTTCCCTCCCCAACTGAGCAGCCCAGATTTAGGACCTTTAAAAACACTGACATGAAAGTCAAGCTCATGAGCATTAAGATTGGTTTGCAAGGGAGGACTGCTGCCTCCAAGAGCTCACCAGTACTGCAGCTGAAAGTTAAAAGCTGCATTACAGGAGCATCCAAATACCAACAGCACTACTTGTAACTACAAGAATTTGCATCATCCAGAACAAGCTGTTCTCTGGCACAAGAACTGTTTAAACTGGGTCAGTCTCCAGTTCCCAACACACACATCTTCAGGAGATCAGTGGAGTGGAACATCCCATCCCACCACAGCTGTGCCTGCCCTGGAGAACTGACCCTGCAGCAACAGGGTGTGCACACAGGTGCCAGGCAATGCTGTGGCTGAGTCACAGTGGGACTGCACACACAGAGCCAAGCACAGACACCCCGACACAAGAAAAGCCAGACAAGAGACTTCCCGAGGGCAGAGAAAGGCAGAGGCAGCAGAGTGACTTTGTATGAGTTGGGGCTACAGAGATGCTGAACAAACCAGTGAGCTGCTGGCAGTGAACTGGAACCCAGCCCTGTGTGCCCTGAGCATTACACACAGACTCCAAAGCAGCACCACCTCTAACAGAACAAACCAACTCACTTTCCTGTCCTACCATCCCAGAGCTTTATGGACTTGTCAAAGGAAGCACTAGCTATTATCCGGGTGTCTGGTGAGAACAGGACTTGGTTAATCAATGCCTGGTGGCCTGTCATTCTCTCCAGTGGCTTCTTGTCTTCTGCTGGTCTCCAAAGAAACAGGGTGAAATCATCAGACCCCGAGACAAGCCTTTCTGGTTCCTGGCCCTGAAAAAGGGATGAAAGAGCCCAGGTGTGGAGAGCTTGTGGAAGCACACCAGTGTTGGGGTATCCACTGCTTTCACCAGTGACAGTGTTAGAAGTGACAGCAGGGACAAGAGGGACTTACCCGGACTTGGTTGTACCTCTGCAGTGCCCTATCTTTGATTTCTGACACTGAAAAAGGGAAAAGGAGTGTGAAATGGAGATTGGCAATCCTTAGATGAAAAGAAACTTTGTAACCTTATCATGACAATTCAGTCCTGGCTCTGAGCAGGAGCATTTGTGATTGCTCCATTTGCCAAAGGCAATTTGGGAGCAAAGCCTGGAAAAACAGTGACCTTCCCATGCCCCCAGACTGCTCCACCCTGGCATGGGCAAGAAAAATCTTGACTTCCAGCATGAGGAGTCCTTCCCCAGCCTCCAAGGTGTGTGCTGTACTCACAGGAGCCTCTGACATCCTGGGGGTTGATGGTGGCCTCGGCTGGCTCGAAGGCTCCAGTGCGGAGAACATAGTCAGTGCTCAGGGCCATGGTGTTCACCCAGTGAGCGTGGCCCTGCAGGGTGCGGCACAGGACCCCCTGGGGACAAAGCCACCCTCAGACAGTGACAGGACAGGCAGGACACAGCCAGGCTGCACAGCACCCACCAGACCCACCGGGCTGCAGGGAGCAACCCCAGACTTTCCAAACCTGCTTGCTCCAGCTGCAGGCAGGCTAAGCAGGGAAGACACAACACTGTTGAGCTTCAGGAATCAGCTTCCCTTGCACAACACCCATCACCTCAGGGTGATGCTCCGGGGAAGTTTCCAGCTTTTAGCCCCATTTAATGCTCTTAAGGATGAAACCATCACACAGCAGCTACCCCTTGCAAATGGTGCCAAGCAACAGGTCTGACAGGTCAAGAAGATACAGCAGCTCTGTTTTTCAGGGTACAAGCTGTGCCAGGAAGAGCAAACAAAGCTACCACACAGTGTGCCCAGCCCCCTTTGCCAGCAGCCCAAGGGCAGTTCCTCACTTACATCCTGGCTCCTCCAGACTTTGATGGTCCTGTCCTGGGAGGAGGAGTAGAGCAAGCCATCGCCCCCCCACTTCACACAGGTCACTGACTGCGTGTGGCTTGTGAGGATTTTGTCACACCTGCCCATCAGCGTGTCCCAGATGCGGATGCTGCTGTCCTTGGAGGCACTGGCCAGGTAACGGCACTCCGGGTTTCTGGGCAAAGAGATCAAATCCATTTGTGCAGCTTGCCTGAGCTCCTTCCCCACCAGCCCCAGAGAATTCAAAGGTCCAGCACGCCACAAAATGCAACTTTCCTTTGGCTTCAGATCAGAGAGAGGCCAGACAGGTGCAGAGCACTGACCTACAGAGAACAAGGTCTCACAAGGCAGGGGAGAGGCAGTTTGCTTCCTCCAAACCAACTCCTGGGCTGCACACTGGAGAAATCAGTCCAGGGTAAACCTGGCATCTGAGGCCTTGGCAATGACCTTGTTTGCACAGCTTTAACCCACTAACGAGGTCACCACAAACTGCCACCTTCCCTGGGCACAGGCTGGAGAGAGCCTTGGGCAGGGGATCAGCTTTACACAGGGAGAACAGATCCACAACATTGGGAATGTGTTGGATGTTCCCCTGCCTCTGCCATGCTTCATCTCCAGCCTGTGGACAGAGTGCTGCTGTGTTGACAGGGCTGAAAGGAGCAATGTCTATCCATATGCATTGTGGCTCAGGGGGCAAACTGAACACAGCTGGAAGCAGCTGGCCACAACCCTCTGTCCTTTGAACATCTTTACCACTCAGCATGGTGGCACCAGCAGTGAGGAAGAGCACAGCCCCTCCCATTGCACTGGAACTGGCTGCAGCCCTAGCAGGGTCATGTCTCTCCATTTCCTCATCTTCCTTACAATATTTTTTTGCTAATCCAGTTAATAGTCTGCAAATAGCTGGAGCTTCCTACTGGCAAATTCAATTTGCAGGGTTCTGCTCTGAAGGGGCCCTTTTTCTTTTTTATTTATTTCTCTAACATCTTGGATTAATGGCTACAACTGTCCCACTCCACCCACCTCTTCCAGAGGGAGCTTTAGCTGATCGAAGGGATAAGGGGATTGTACAGTTAATCATCCCTCATGATAAACAAACGAGATGACAAAGGCCAGCAGGATCAGGGGAGCAGAAATGAGTGCTCTGCCCTTGGACACCACCAGGCCACCCTGCTCCCACCTCAGCATTGCTGGAGCAGCACATCAGTGTTTGTCCAGAACCACAAAAGCAGTGTTTTCCACAGGCAGGAAAAGAGTTTTCCCAGGGGAAAAGAGACACAGCCTGGCAGTGATTCCCCAGCAACTCATGGGGACTGTGAGCAGCAGCTGGGACTCCTGGCTCCCAAATGCACACATTCTTCCCAGCTCACCTTGAGAGCTGCTCTACACAGGCTTTTTCCTGTAACAGGAGAAATGCAAACAGGAGCAATGCCCTTTGGGTCAGGCTGCTCTTTTCCATAGGAGGGCTGAGCTGGCCTCTTCACTTACATGTGGAGCGGTTCCCAGCACAGACATGTGATCCATTTGGAGTGGCCAGAGAGCACCCGGCCGATCTGGCTGCCAGTGGCTGGGTCCCAGAGAAAGATCTGTCCAAGAGAGGAAGCACGAGGGTTGCGTCAGGCCACAGACATCATGTGAATCCCAGAGACGTTGGAACTCCATTTAGAAAGCAGAGGTGTCCTTGGGATCGTGTTTGCACACACAGCAGCAGCAGGGGATGGGGGCTGGATGCCTTTCCAAATCCCTGCAGCAATCAGCTGACACCCAAAAGAATGAGACAGGATTGTTCTCCTGTCTGCCTACAACACTGCTGCTACAAAGTTATCTGACTCAACTCAAACAGGATTCAGGCCCCCCAAAAGCCACCCCATGTCAGAGACTCAGTGAGTGTTTCCAGAGCACAATGAAAGCCACAGCATGTTAAACGCTGCTGATTATCGGATGCTGTGGGTGGGACACATGCTGGTTTTCTCTTGTTGATTCTCTCTCTACATAAACGTTCATCTTAAGAGCCAAGGCATTAGTCATCTCCTACTTAAGAACCTGGGAGAAATAGGGAAAAGGAGGACAAGCAGCTCTCTGGGTTCAATTAGAGGCAGACCAGCACCAAACCATGGCTGAACCACTCTGGCCCAGGACATTTCCTTGGGATTGGCATCACAACCTTGGCAGCTCTGTGAGTGCTGTCATTATTCCCAGACCATTCAAAGGTCAGAGAGAGCAACTGCCCCTCAGCACTCAGCTCCCATTTAACCACATGCTCCTGCTTCCCCAGGCGTTTCTGCACTTCAAACACCATTTTGCCCCACAGCGGGGGCTGAATTCCCTTCATGATCCTGCAAGATGGAATTGGGCTGTGTCTGTGTGGGAACACTGTGACCAGGCTGCTGCAGCATGGCTAGGACGCACTAACAACAGCCCTGATCTGTCCTCACTCCAGACACCTCCCTCGTAATGGAGGCACCTGCCAGTGACAACATCCAAAGCCTAGACTCTTTCCAGTATGGAGGGACAAGCGTCTGCCACGAGACAGCAGGACTCAGCAGCAAGAGCTCCCCTGGGTGACAATGTCAGAGTGTTTCTCACAATACCATGACACATCCACAAAGCTCCTCTGGAGAATGGGAATTGTGCTCCAAAAATGGGATTCACCCCTCACACCCCTGAAGAAACAAGCCTTTCACCTCTAATTCCCCCCAGCCCCATGCTGAGGGAGCCCACGCGTACCTGGCTGTTCTTGCAGCCCGAGGCCAGTTTCTTCCCATCAGGTGACCAAGCAATGCTGAGCACCCAGTGCCGGTGACCTGGCAGAGAGAGCATGAGTGGCTGTGAGTAGTGAGCTGTGATATGTCCCAGCATGAAGCCACTCTGTGCTCCTCCAGGCCAGCCCCTCTGTTTCCACTTTGCCAAAGACAGCTACTTCCTCCCCAAGCTGCAGTCCCAGCCTGGACAGCTCAAACAGCATCAGGTTCTGCTTGTTCCCCAAGGCAGACAGGGGGTCCATGAGGGAGGGGGTCACAAGCTGCCCTCCTGGCACATCCCAGCACCCACCTTTGGCCGTGAACTGCGGCGTTTCCGTGCTGAGGTCCCAGAAGCGGACAGTGGTGTCTCCAGAGCCGCTTGCCAAGTACCTGGGAGAGGAGGAACAGCTCAGTACAGTGTCCCCATGACAAGACAGGGGCACCCTGATGCCCGCCTGCAGCCAGACCCTCGTACTTTCCCGTGGGGCTGAAAGCCACGGAGATGACGGCCTCGGTGTGTCCCTCCAGGGAGCTTGTGCAGCGTGTCACCGCCCGCACCCTGAACACCGCCTGCGGCTGGTAGATGATGTCCAGGACCTTCTCTGTCTCCACGCTCTGCCCTGCCAGGGTCTTCTCCAGCGACGCCACGATCTCGGCATCGTGGACGAAGAAGGCCAGAGGCACCGGCTCATCCTGCGGGAGATAGGGCAGGTGAGGTAGCGAGGGTCGGGCTGGGGGTGCCGGGGAGCTCGGGACGGGTCTCACCTTCTGCAGGAGGGCGTTGCAGACCAGCTGCAGCTTGTCCGGAGTGATGGTGACCGGGACGTCGAAGGGGGAGCCCAGGCACTCCCCTGCCTCATCGCGGAACTGGATCAGGAGCCGCTGCACATCCTC